CGGAATTTCTGAATTTCGGGATTTTTGAATTTCTGAAATTTCTGGAATTTCGGAATTTCTGAATTTCGGGATTTCGGGATTTTTGAATTTCTGAAATTTCTGGAATTTCGGAATTTCTGGAATTTCGGAATTTCTGAATTTCTGAGTTTTTGACTTTAGAATTTTTGAATTTCTGAAATTTCTGGAATTTCGGAATTTCAGAATTTCTGAATTTCGGGATTTTTGAATTTCTGAAATTTCTGGAATTTCGGAATTTCAGAATTTCTGAATTTCGGGATTTTTGAATTTCGGAATTTCTGAATTTCGGGATTTTTGAATTTCTGAAATTTCTGGAATTTCGGAATTTTAGAATTTCTGGAATTTCGAATTCCTGACTTTCTAGATTTTGAATTTCTGAATTTCAGAATTTCCTGAATTTCGGGATTATTGAATTTCTGAAATTTCTGGAATTTCGGAATTTCTGAATGTCTGAGTTTTTGAATTTTAGAATTTTTGATCATTTTTCTTTTTTTCTTTCAAAATTTAGCCATTTTTGACCTACATTCTATGTCCAACCTATACAATAATGAACCTATTTTAATCCCCTTTTCACACATTTCCCCCCTCAATTTCATCCTTCCTGTCCCCTCTCCTCCTTCCATTCAATTGAAAATTTTCCATTTCGTTCCTTTTCTTCTTCTTCTTCCTCTCTACCCAATTCATTCATGAAGCATTCCTCTGCAGTCTGCATGTCTGCGTCTCTCATAGGTTGGTCATGTGAGACGCGCTCTCTTCTTCTTCTTCTTCTTTCTTTTAAAAATAAATATCAAAACATTATTTTTCGACATATGACTAATGGTCTCTTGTGTCCTTCTTCCAATTGATTTTTAAAGAAATTCAATTTTTTTTCCATTAAAAACGATTCAAACTTAGGTTAAAAAAAGTGCTGAAAATGGCTGAAAATCGATTTCAAGTTGTCTGAAATTGACTGGAATAGACTGAAAATGGTATAAACACATTGAAAATTCGAAAAAATTGCGAAAAAAAATTGCGAAATTTAAGATTTTTTTTGGAATTTCAGATTTGGGAATTTATGAAGTTTTGGATTTTTTTTTCTAAAATTTTCTCGATTTTTTGCTGGAAAAAAACTTGAAATTCACTGAAAAGCGTCTAAAATTCAGTCAAAATGCGAGAAATTGATTAAAATCGAAAAAAAAAATCGTTCAAAATTGAAAACTAGTGAATTCAAGATGTTCATAATTTCAATGATTTTTATACGAATTTTTTCAAAAATAGGTTTAAAAAATTGTTCGAAATTCACTAGAAAGGGTCTAAATTTCAGTAACTACTGCAGTATACTGTGAAAAATTCGTCAAAATTGAAAAAAATGATTTTTTGAAATTTTTAGTAATTTTACACAGTTTTATCGTTTTTGTATCGATTTATTGTAAAATTAAACTACAGTGTTACCTAAAATCACGAAAAATCGATACCAAAGCGATAAAACTGTGTGAAAATCACTAAAAAATGATTAGAAATCGATGAAACTGAGCGGAAACTAGCTAGAAAGTCTGAAAATCGCAATTTTCCGAGGTGTGCGGTGAAAAATTTTATTGCTTCATTTTGTGCAGAAATTTATGCAGATTCCCATAAAAATAAAGAAAAAATTCAAAAAAAAATTCCTTCATTGAGAAAAACGGCATCAAAAAGTCAAAGTGGGATCCGGTGGCCTAGCGGCCAGGTGTGAGTTTTCTAGGCCAAC